TTTTATGGGATGTGTACGGTAAGTTCTGGACCAGCTGTTTTATGGATGTGTACGGTAGTTCTGGACCAGCTGTTTTATGGGATGTGTACGGTAGTTCTGGACCAGCTGTTTTATGGGATGTGTACGGTAGTTCTGGACCAGCTGTTTTATGGGATGTGTACGGTAGTTCTGGACCAGCTGTTTTATGGGATGTGTACGGTAGTTCTGGACCAGCTGTTTTATGGGATGTGTACAGTTATTCTGGACCAGCTGTTTTATGGGATGTGTACAGTAGTTCTGGACCAGCTGTTTTATGGGATGTGTACAGTAGTTCTGGACCAGCTGTTTTATACACGTAGAGAAGTAGCAACTAAGTGAGCTATATACAGTCACGTGTGATAAGTATGGGTGAAATATAAGGGTGTATCCTGATGTAAGGAAATTTATCTGTGAATTTTTAAATCTAAAGGACCGAAATTTCGTCTTGAGAAACTCTCGATCGTAGTGAGAAAATCTCAGATTAGTTTATCCCGGTGACATCATTTGGTATCAACCAATGTTTACCAATAACTTGAGGAAGAATGACCGTTGACTTTTTTCGTCTTCAATTTATCCAGACTAGGCGGTTGGTTCAGACACGAGTGATGTTTGTTTGTTAGGGTACCTAAACTATGGGGGTATACTCTCTTTTTTTTTAGCGGACCTGGCTGGCTTTATATTACTGCAAACTTTTATAGCCTGATCCTTCAGCTCATAAACAAAAATTCGAACAAATCTTTACATTTTAGTGATTTTCCAAAAATTGTAGATTCTGTACTAAGATGAACGAGGAAAACTACTTATAGAAGATAACACAAAAATCCCTGTGGCTTTCTAGTTGAGTTATCTCGGACGTTTCCATAGATACATACACGTTCATCTGAAGTAGAGGTGTGAACAGTCGTTAGCACGTGCTTCCTTTTTTTTTGGTAAACTAATTCTTTTTTCTTATCTGCATCAGCAATGTTATCAGATAGAAAACGGTATAGCGACGTTAAAGTTACGTGTTTGTGATTTTTAATCTGAACCTAACGGTCAACAAACTCTAAAAGCATATACGTTCAATAACTGGCAGATCACTAGAACTACAAATGGGGTCGATATCGTCCCTTCTAAACCTATTTTAGGCTTAGCATGGCCTTGTGGTTAAGGCGCTCGACTCGCACTCCGAGGGTCACGGGTTCGAGTTCCCGTCACCGAACATGCTCGTCCTTTCAGCTGTGGGTGTGTTATAATGTGACGGTCAATCCCACTATTCCTTGATTAAAAAGATTAGCTAATAATACTTTTTTTAAAATTAAGCACCAAATTTCATGTGGGTTCACGACTTCCATTTGTTACGGAGTATATAATAACGGGTCACATACACGTAATTAATAAAAATACCATTGATATTGCGATTAACCTTACTAATCCCACTGGATTTGTTTGTTTTAAAGCAATTCCTCAAATTGAATTTTGTAACAGATAAAAGGATAAGAATGATGCAGTATGCGAACTCTACCGGGTGAACAACAACAAAAGTCGTTAATTTGAAGGTTAATCAGACTTTCGCGTTTGTTACAACAGCAGAAAGTTCGGGATAGAACGTTCGCATCTAAATCTGTTCAAAATTAGGGGCGGCTATAGTGTCTTTTGCGCAAATATCCGAAACAAAATAATACCAGGAATATTAATACTTAACGAAAAGATTCAGTACGGAATGCCAGATATTGTGTGGTTAATATTCATCAAAACTTTAAGCATAAAGATCGTGGTCAGTGTTTGTAGCTGTAGAGAAGTTCCTTTTTCAGGGTGGTGCAGGAGTTTCACGCCAACACATTTCTTAGTCCTGCCCTTACTGTAGTTTTTTTAAAGTCAGGTTTGCGTTTCTCTAACTGTTTGTTTTTCATTTGTTACAATAATTAGCTTGGATGTCATTAACCTTAAAAGATTGTATTAAAATGACACTGTGCCACATGTCAATGGCGTGCATGTAGAACAGCTGTAAGGGCGGGACTTAGAAAAATCAGGATGGGCACAGCTTTGCTGTACCGTGTATTTTATATAGTTGTAATAAAGATAATATACTAATGGTCTAAAATACCTTCAAAGTAAAGTGAACAATTTGTTTTCGTTTTCCAAATAGGTGGCGCTGACAGCAACAAAGGAAGGAGTAAAAAATGGAAGAAGATATTACAGTTTCCACACATATCACATTGTATAGATATAAAAACCAGAATAGGTGAGTTTTCATGTAGCACTGTTAAGTAAAGAGTAAGTTTATTTGTGAATTTCGTTTTCTCACTATAACTTGAATTCCAGTGAAGAAAACATGATGCTGAAGCCTAATCTTTGAATCTATTCTTTGATTCGCTACTTCCGCAGCAGTAGACTAGTTTCGTTGAATTTACAGCTCATCAGTACTGCTTGGAAAAGTGAAGCAAATAAAGTAGGCCTAATATACTTTTATATTCTTAACTGAAATTCACGTTTTGCTGAGGAAAAGAAATTCATAAATAAATAAATATCCAATTAATCCGTTGGATATTAGTGGATAATTAATTGTGACATGTCCCATGTTATCCAAACACCTAATGTGTTTTAGGTTATTAACAGCGAGTAATGGACTATATAACTAAACCAAATAAATTAATAATTCTTAATTTTTTTTTGCACAATAAATTAAAGTTTGTATAACAGTGATTGTGTTTGAAATAGATGAGAGGTGCATAGGTGACCTAATTGTTTAATTAAAAATAAAAATGCACAGCAATAGAGTTTTAAAGTAAAAATATATTTGTTTTTATTTAATTTATAGCTGATATGAACGAGAGGGCTAGGCTTATAACTTTTATACCTCGTTTTGAAACTAATACTGCAAATAAAACGCTAGGCCTATTACACAATGGTATGATACTCGTGCTGAACTGAGCAACATTTTCGAAATTTGACCTTTGATTATAAACACAGGAGAAATGTTATTTCTAAACACACGTTATCCATTTAATACTGTAGCTATTTTAGGTAAATCATAGTGATTGTATGTAGTTAGGTAATTCTTTCGACCAATATTCTTGGACTTTGGTGGCGCGTTGGTGCGCCAGTAACGTGCCAGTTCTTTTTTTTAAGGTTTGATGATTTGAAGCAAAAAAAGTTGTTAAAAAAATAGACCAGAGAGAAAAATAACACAAATAACTTTTGTTTTATCTTGCCAGATGGTATCCCTTAGCAACTGTAACATGTCAGACTTCGCTGCATGGTTTTCCCGCGCATTTCTTTCTTAGGTTAGAGAGATTCACGTATGACAAAGGTCTGAGAAACATTGGAATACAAGTAGCTTCATATTGACTGTGTAGCTCTAACTTAAGAACTTTAGATAAGTTTGTTAATTTGTAGTTTATCTGGGACGTGACTGCGAGCTAGGCCTAGATCGACATCGATTTTGTTTTGTCCGTTATTTAATAGAAACAATAGTTCAGTACGTTGCACAGGTCAAGAAAATACAAGAAAAACTAAGTTTAATTCAAACAGTTTGCCATTTGTAATCGGTACTTTTCTCAATTTTATAATAACAGACAATAGTCAGTTAGCCAGCGATGGTCGTAGTGTAGAAATTTTTTTGAGCATGTAAAATTAATGCTTCTTATTTTTCTATCATGTTATTTGATAATACAGTTGGTTTATAAAATGACAGAATTTTATTACTTTGACATATTATTTAACAACAAAAAACATTACCAACAATTTTTATAACAAATTAATAATTAGATCCTTGTAGCCGAGTGTGCAGTAATTTTGTTAACACCATCAAGACTTCCACCACGACCAATGACGTAATTTGAAATGTTCAAGTTTGCAGACTTTAACATATAATTGGTAGTCTGATACTAGTAACTTTTGACTCCAGATCGTTAGAATGTGTCCAGTACTACAAACTTTGACATGAAATTGTTAGAATGCGTGTTTAATTATACAGACTTTCGCATTAAATCGTTTTTCAGGCGTTTTTCCTGATTTGTAAATAATCCATAATATGCATAAATATGGACTATTAGTGTTCAATGTTATCAGAATAACTAGATAAAATGGAAGGTTTATCTAAAAAACATACACATCATCATAGGGGCGGTGGTTTATATGCTGTTAATAACTGAAACGAAAGCTTCTACTTCGACAATAGTTTAATTATGAAGCAAGTAGAAATTTCGTTTAGTTTTTTTTTGTGTGTGAAATTGAATCCGTTGCAGGGAATCTGTAGGTACATATTAGGTATCTTTTAGAAGCTTCTCTAAACTACTGCAGCGACCTCTGTCACACGTTGAAAGAGCGGTAACTGTTCCAACGCTAAATCAAACATGAAAGCTGAGGTATACACGTTCCCTTGTGGTTTACGTAGAAATACATCCAGGAAAGGAGCGGAGATTTTCAACTCAACAAAGCATTGAATAGAATTTTGTATTCGCTGCAAGATTAGAGGTAGGCTCATAAATTAAGTCTATCTTGGCTACATTCTTGTCACTGGTGTATCGAACAACGAAAAATAAATACGAGTCAGTGTTTGTGCGTGTGTGTGTGTGTGTGGATGCGATATTGTGTAGCATCGCGATGAAAGTATTTGAAAAACTGTGAGTTAATAAAGAAAATGCTCGTTCTTAGCCTAAGAAATCGATACATTCAGTGACAAGACACTGGTAGTACCTGGCCCAGTTTCAGAGGAGCCGTTACCATGGTAATCACAAAATTGACTTACTGTTTCTGCCAAGAGCTTGTTCGATATTACAGACAAGGAGCCTAAGAAAAGAGGACTATTAATATCTTTGAATTTTGACCTGGTTAAAAACTACTGCTCACCAGAGAATCATATTTTACTAAGTTGGCAATGTGTTGTAAAGAAACCGATCGATTAGTGTCATTCGAATATTAAAATTTAGATGCCATTTCCAGTTTATCACATTTCATACTGAAACCGTAAATGTGGCCACGTGATGGCATTTCAAAGTAAAAACTTTAAATCAGGACTGCAGAAGTAATGTAACACAACTTTTTTTTTGTACCCCTTACCTGGGCCTAACTATTCTTCAGAAACACTCGTAAGCCTAACACCATAAATAACCGAATCCATTCTTCCGACCACCAGTTGTTAAAGTTCCGACCAGATAAACTTAGTACTTCTAAAAGAGAAACCTAAATGTCAATTTAGATACATGCACACACTACAGATCATCTGTTGACAGAAGAAAAAAATGTTGCCTGGTGGATAAAGCACTCGGTCAATTTTATTTTATTTTTCACTTAAGCCTAATGTTAAATCATGATAGTTTTACAGGTGTTGAGCAAAATGAACTGAGAGGCCATAAGTTAAACTCAACCTATAATAGATTTTATAAATATTAGTACAAAGCTCAACATAAACGAGTAAACAAGTCGTTAGCCTGGATTTATTGGCTAATATAAGAAGAATTGTTAATTAATCGCACACCTGTTTTGCGCAAGCTGCTCGTAATTGTCGTGTATATTTAGTAACTTAACTGGAATATATAACGTTTGAAGTTCATCAGCAATGTTTGGAAAATAAAAAAAAGCATGAACTTGTTTTCCATTTACTATTTCCAACCCGCATGGTATACCTTATGTAAAACAGGTTTCTCGCACACAGTTATCCCTAACTAAGAACTGATAATCAGAGATAAAGAGGGAAGGCAACTAGCTAGTAGCACCCGTCACCTACACCATTTCTCTCAACCGAACCCCCCCCCCCTCACACACACACACACCTGGAATGAGGAGCAGTTTCAGTAACTTATCGCGGCTCGAACCGCAGCACGGCTCGTATTTTATGTTGCGTAGATTTTCTGAAGCTTTCCTCAAATAATTGTAACACTATTACTTTTATCATGATCCACCCAGAGTATGTTTAACAAATATAAAATATTTGATAAGTAAATCTACGCCTATGTGTTTGTCATTGTTACTCTTGTGTTAATTAGGCTTAGTTATGTGTATGTATTACAGTGTTTTCTTTAGTTATGCCGTGTAGTAAGTATAAGTATCTATTACAATATTTGGCTAGTTGCCAGAAACTGCATCAATGACCTTAACTTATTCCAAGTGTTAATAAATGTCACTAATGTTTTCTTTTGTTCAAGATTCCACAGAGAAATATAAATTATGTTGCCTCCATCTTGAAAATTTTGTTTATAGATTCACCATGCATGAAATATTATTGATATAATACGAGTACGATCTCAATGTCTGCGGACTTGTAACGCTAGAAACCGGGTTTCGATACCTATGGTGGGCAGAGCACTGATAGCCCATTGTGTAGTTTTGTTCTTAACTACAAACAAACAATTTAAATGTGCAATTCAATATGTCGACAGAAGACTTTGGAATATAGGCTAATTGTGTGATTACTTCTGTATAAATATTGTATTATTAAATACAAATAATTTTCAATTTAAAAGTAATTTTTTAAATAATATATAATGTTTTCATACGTCCGGGTATGCCCTGTAAATTTTGTGGTTCATTGTTCGCATCCCGTTGTAACGTAAACACACACCGTACTTTGGAACCATGAACATATGCACAATCACGGCAAAACGTACGTGTATGTGTACGCATGGCTTTTTTATGAAATCCTGTGTGCAGGGCTGCTGAGAGCCATCATGGACCGGGGGCAAAATTCTCATCCCTACCCCCAAATGGTTTTAGAAATAGCTACCGTAAGTGATTAAACGCACAGTTAATGTCTACTGAAACGTTACGTTCTGATTTGATACATTTTGTACATTTTTTTTTGCCGCTCTCATCGTCCCTCTGGTGGGAAGTGAGTCCCATGGAAATATCTCCGGCCTCCCCGATTTTTCGGTGCTCCCGCCAATATGCTGAGAATATGCATAGCCAGAATTATTTGTAAATCAAAGGAAGCAAAACAGTAGTTACAGTTAGAAACTTTTTTTTTTAGCATTTCCGGTACAAAAACCGTGTTTCTTTTGTAATTAATTTATAACTGATTCACCCCTCTAGTGGCTCAACGTTAAATTTTCATGTTTACAACACATGAACGAAACCAACAATTTTAAATAATCTATAAATATATAATTTGTTTGTTTTATAAAACTAATTAAAAACGAGGTATTTATTGGTCGTTTTAAATTATTTTTATGATTGAATAAGCCATTGTTTTGTATATGTTTTAATGTGTCTAACTCTTGATATGGGATCCATTAATCAGGAAAT